GTATTGCTGCTCGGAGTAATGACATTTGCCTAAGTCATTTTAGAAACATTTTAAAAAGTAGGTAAAGCCAAACCTCTTTGGATAGATATTTTACCAAGCGACCTCTATCCAGTGAAAGTGCTGGTAGAAATGAAGGAAAGAAAGCAAAATGCAGTGAATAAAAATTTTTAAAAATATATATAAAACAACACTAATTTTTTTATATTTTCTAAGTTATTTTTAAGTTATTGTTACATTATGTTATGTAAGTTAAGTTTTAGTATCATTTCCCTTCTCCCTCTCCTCCGCTACCAGTTTACACCTCCACCATCGTCTATCTTCAAAGGTAAAGTGCAAATAAAACTACATTTTTTTATCAATTATTATTCTATTATGGTTATTTATACATTTACAACTTCAAAATGCATTTCTCAGTGTTTTCCTTACTAAAGTTTTTTTTTTTTTTTCAATGTACTACTTTGCTTTAATTTGAGTGTGTTTTTCATGTTGGAATGGATTATTTGGTTTTACATATAATCATATGGGGAAAAATGATTCACCTTACGACATTTTCATGATATGATCTCAGTTTAGGAATGGATTAATTTTGTATCCTGAAGTACTACTGTATCTATAAAATATATAACAATATAGATAATTTTTTAGAATAAATATAAATTTGTTCATATTTTTTTATTTAGTATTACTGGATATAAAAATTGCAATACTTATTTATAAGTACCTACAAAAAAATATAACAGAAATTTATAAAAACAATAAAAAATGTCTGTTATTACTTATATTATGATAGTTACATACATGAAATAGAAATAATTACAAAGAACTGCCTTCATTATTTTGATTTTCAAATGATATTAGTTATTTATACAGTTTTAAAGTAATTAAAAATTATAAAAATCATATATTGCAATTATTTATAATACAAAAAATATTATTTCAACAGAATGATTTGTGCGTAGCAATTAGCAATATTAGAAATAGTTCAATAACAAATAGCAACCAAATAGTTAATAATATAGTTTAGTATAAATATATCTAATTTTGTTTTAAAAATTAGTACTTTAAAAAATAACAAAACATCCAAAATTTCAAATGACATTAAAGCTTCAAATTTTAATGCTAACATTATTTTCACTGAAAGTGTATCATTTGACATTAATGTTTATTGAATAGTAGATAGTACAGCAAAACTTTCTAAATTTGATGATCTGATGTCAATTCAAAAAAGTTTGAATTGTAACTCTAATTATAAGAATCATTTAAAGGCACTTCTCAGTTTTTGATAACATATTCTCATGCATTTCTTGAATTAAACTTTTTTGATGATGATGATGATGATGATTTTAGTTATGATTTCTTCATTAAATTTTTTATCTAACTTAAATTATTTTTGAATTTATCTCTGCATTATACTGTTACCAATGGTGAGATCATAATTTTGAAGAAAAGAAAGTTCTGAATTTTGATTATTAGAGAGGTTGCGGCCGACGTTTTCAATGTGAAAACATGTACGTCAGACGTTCAGCACCACTTTCCTGTAAGCCTAGAAGTTTTACAATGGCATTTGGAATGTCAGTGGAATCATGCGGGACATTCCAAATGCCATTGTCAAACTTCTAGGCTTATAGGAAGGAGGTGCTGAATGTCTGATGTACATGTTTTCACATAGAAAACATTGTCCACAACCTCTCTATTATTTATTTTACGGGACAGTCAAGTTTTTAATTATTTTAACAGGACTCTAATGTTTTGTTTCTGTACTCTGAAATTCTCTGCTTTAATGATTCATACACATTTAAACTTAGATCAATTTGTTAAAAGTTTCAGAGATTCTTCAATACACTTATCTCACTTATTATGAATTCTAAAGTGTTTCAGATTTTAAACATAGTTTCCAATGTAGTAAAATTATTCTCACAGTACAAAGCTTTTTTACTCTGTATTGCCTCCACTTTATAAAAAAAAATGAATTCAGCCAGTTTGAAATTAGTTTGTATTATTTTCCATTATACATGCAATGAATGCACTCTAAAAAAGAAAATAACTATAGAAGTTATCATGAGGAAGATTATTCAAATACCCAGATTGCAGGAATTGTCAAGGATGCCACATCCACAGTTATTTTAAATAATTATATTAAAAAATATAAAATTATTATAAAATATATAAAGAAAAATAAAAGTACCAAAGTTTCTAATATAGGATAATTCATTTTTCAAATTATTATTATATTTCGACAATCATTCTGCAGTCCATAATTTATTGATTATTATGAAATATTCTATTCTGTTGCAAGGCAAATACTATGAAATAAATAAATTTTAAATTCATAATTTAAAATATGAAGCAATACTATCTTTTAATTATTAGAATATACTTCAATAATTAAAATTTCATTAATTGCTTTCAATAATAATTTTAAATGAAAATCTAGTTAATTAAATCTTTCAGCTGTTTGCTCTCCGATCACAAATGTCAAGATCTAAATGGACTGGAGAATTTATTCATGATTTATTGAGCTTTCCACCTCTCCTCTGGGTAAGTAAAAATGAGCAAAATAGTCAGTATTTTACTTTATATAAATATACTAAAGTATCTATTTTTTATAACATGTTTTCAAATTATGAAACAAACACTTCTGTATATGCAAACATTATACACTTGAATGTATCATAAATACCATAGTTATGACTACTGAACTTATAAACTTATATGAAAAAAACAATGACTTTTCATATTTTTTTTTTATTTACATGAATGAATATTTCACTTGGAAAATTCAAATATAATACTAAATCCAAAGAAATTTAAAACTTTTCTATCCTTTCACTAAAAGTAAATGATAACTACTTATTTGCATGAAAACATATCAGAAAATTCAGTTTTTGAAATTAATTTATGAAAAAATCTAGAGAAGAAATTATAAAATAAATGTTCTGTCTTAGCTTTTAGCCAATTATTATGAAATAATCAAAAACATGAAAACTATTGCCTTTGTATCATTAGTTTTGAATAAATTAAAGAATTAAGAAGTTTCTGTTATAAAATGCATTGACACATGAATAAAGTTTATTGATGTGTCAATGCAATTTATAGCAGAAACTTCTATTTAAACAAACAACTTTTCCCCCTAAAAAATATCAACAGGTTGAAAATGATTGGACACCTTGACTGTAATTGCGAATAACAAATTTTGGCATTTTATATATTTTGTATCTTTTTTCTTTTATTTTGAAAAAATTATTTATTTTAATATAGAAAGAGTGACTTTCCTATATTGTATCTTTGTAATTCTATGCAATTTAAACTGGCAAAATATTTAAGTAATTATATTATTTTTCTTTTCTTTCTTTCCTTTTTTATTTTTATTTTGTTTTCATGAAACTTAACAAATTAATGGCTAAACATTAATTTTATTTTAATTGGCATATTTTAGGAGAAACACATAATAACAATGCTTAAAATAACACCTCAAACTGAAATTACATCATGTTTATTGAACTTAGAATACATTGACACTAAAAAGACTAAAATTGAATTAGTGATGTATTATTATAAATGTTGATTTGATTTAGTTGAATAATTTCTGTTATTTATAAAGGAGAAATTGTATTTTCTTTTAATTTTTATATTTTTTACTTATATATGTTACAGTCAAAACCCGTTTTTAGTTAGAACGCGTTTTAACTAGTTGAAACTAGTTTATACTGAATGTCTTTGTTAAAACCCGTTTTGTCTAGTTAAAACTAGTTTTAACTCAAATTCATTTTTGACTAGCAGTAAATTCTAGTTTTAACTAGACAAAACCAAATTCATTTT